TAAAAAGCCAAATTAGATGGTCATAGTAATTATGTTAGATCAGTCTGTTTCTCTCCTGATGGAAATACATTAGCTTCTGGTAGTGATGATAAGTCTATCCGTCTATGGGATGTCAAAACAGGATAATAAAAAGCCAAATTAGATGGTCATAGTAATTATGTTAGATCAGTCTGTTTCTCTCCTGATGGAAATACATTAGCTTCTGGTAGTGATGATAAGTCTATCCGTCTATGGGATGTCAAAACAGGATAATAAAAAGCCAAATTAGATGGTCATAGTAATTATGTTAGATCAGTCTGTTTCTCTCCTGATGGAAATACATTAGCTTCTGGTAGTGATGATAAGTCTATCCGTCTATGGGATGTCAAAACAGGATAATAAAAAGCCAAATTAGATGGTCATAGTAATTATGTTAGATCAGTCTGTTTCTCTCCTGATGGAAATACATTAGCTTCTGGTAGTGATGATAAGTCTATCCGTCTATGGGATGTCAAAACAGGATAATAAAAAGCCAAATTAGATGGTCATAGTAATTATGTTAGATCAGTCTGTTTCTCTCCTGATGGAAATACATTAGCTTCTGGTAGTGATGATAAGTCTATCCGTCTATGGGATGTCAAAACAGGATAATAAAAAGCCAAATTAGATGGTCATAGTAATTATGTTAGATCAGTCTGTTTCTCTCCTGATGGAAATACATTAGCTTCTGGTAGTGATGATAAGTCTATCCGTCTATGGGATGTCAAAACAGGATAATAAAAAGCCAAATTAGATGGTCATAGTAATTATGTTAGATCAGTCTGTTTCTCTCCTGATGGAAATACATTAGCTTCTGGTAGTGATGATAAGTCAATTCGTCTATGGGATGTCAAAACAGGATAATAAAAAGCCAAATTAGATGGTCATATTAATACTGCCTATTCAGTCTGTTTCTCTCCTGATGGAAATACATTAGCTTCTGGTAGTGATGATAAGGCTGCCTGTCTATGGGATGTCAAAACAGGATAATAAAAAGCCAAATTAGATGGTCATTAATATGGTGTCTATACAGTCTTTTTCTCTCCTGATGGAAATACATTAGCTTCTGTTAGTACTGATTACTCTATCCGTATATGGTATTTAAAGACAGGATAAGAAATTAAATCCTCTGATAAAAACTACAAAGATATTCTTGCATAATTTAAAGCACCACTATTTTCAAATAATCCTCTGTCAGGTATTTATTTAATTATTACATTTTAGAATCCAACAATATTACAATTCTAAGAATATCTTAAACACCATTATTTCAAGCGCAAGGAGCATTAATCTTGAAAGGAGAATTTATCAATTATGAGGGATACGAACTAAGATCATTATTCAAATCTTTAGGAAGTTGCATTTTAGAAGACTTTAAGTAAAATTGATTATTTATTAACAATATTACAACAATAATACCATATATATCTAATATTTTTTTAATTCTGTCTTTATTAATTTAACTCTTTATATTCACTTCTAAGGCTAGACAAGGAAGTATTTTTTAAAGTATTATTC